GTCCGGTACAAGAAACCCAGCCCTGCTGTCAAAGCTGACCCTTTGACACGTCCCCTTTCAGGAAATGGCATAGCAAGATCCTCGGATCAATTAGCTACCAATCAATTATCCTTTTGCCACCCAATGCACGAAACGTGCCGAACGGTCCTCCAGCTGCTGGACTGCTGCTGTGTCAGGAAGAGGGTTTAAGGGCACAGAACCTGCAGGTTTTAACAGGCTGTTTTAAAGCCTGTTTAAGGACAAAACATTGGATTCATTTACAAGATTAACAAAAAGCTACCTGACTGACCTCAAGAAAAATTCATACAAATACAAAACCCCAGATCACTTAAAGTAAATCTCCTTTGCGTGTGATTCAACACAAACGTGATTTTTTGGGGGGAAATGCATAACTGTAGGCTGCAGGAGAACTGAAAAACTTTGCTCAGCTGTTAACTAATTTGGGCAGATTAGAGCTGACGTGATTCGCTGGAATGAAGTCCTCAGCTTTTAAAAGCAGCACTCTGGAATCGACAGCCCCCACAGGAAGCTGAAACCCCCATTGTCAGGAAGCTATGAGCGTGCAGGTGGACCATGGCAGGCTCAGGCCCTAGACCTGGTCTTATAGATCTCTTATCGCCAGACTCTGACGGTCTCTCTCCCTCTCCCCTCCCCAGTGGTGCCACAGCTGGAGACCTGTGACGGCGCCCTGGCCTTCTGGAAGCAGTGCACAGACTGTGACAACGTCTTCACCACCTCTGCTGACACCTTCCTGCACACCCTGAGCTCGGCGTTCAGTGCCAGGCTGCCGGAGCGCTCTGCCAGCCTGGCAGACACCGGTAAGACAGCGGGAGAGCCAGGCCAGTGCCCTGGAAACCCGTTAGGAGCAGATTTCAGATGAGCGCAGGATGAGCACGGGCGCACGGAAGGGAATTTGCCCAGCCCTTGGCAGCGATGCGGGTGGTTAACGCTCTGGCTGCTGCCGTTGTATCCCAGTGTTCCTGCGGCTGGCGGAGCGCGTGCTGGACCGGAAACTGCCCAGGCGGGGGGGCAGCGGAGGCAGGGGGACTCTGACGCTCTTCCAGTTCTGGAGCTACCTGGAGGCGGAGGGCGTCACGGCGCTGGGCACGCACGTGGCCGATCTCGCGGAGGAGGGTGAGCCGCAGGGAGTGTGCGGGCGGGGGTCTCCAACCCCGCTCCGGGGGCACTCTGAACACGTTGTTCTTAAAGGACGCAGACACAGATCTAAAACACCTGTTACTGGAAGATCAGGAACACTAGCCGTTGCAGTGCTTCAATAAAAGAAGCACAGGTCCTGCAGGGCTGAAAGATATTCTGGGCTTTTCTCCACATGATCTCTAGATTACTTCATTGAAACACCACCTGTTTTGACTGATCACAGTGAACTTATTCTAGGCCTTTAGGAATTGATGATTTAAAGACTGCCTGTAAAACCCCACAGGACGGAGCTCTCCTGGTGTAAGGAGAATGGGCTATGTGCCAGTATCATATGTGTAAGATCACAGACACACAAGCATATCCACAGAAGTGGTTTAAGTTTTCATTTCGTCTAATACGCTACTGACTTGATTGGTCTAAATCACCAGTTCTCAGGTCTTCAGATACTCTGTGCCTCTCTTAGATCAAGGATGTTTACTGTGCCACCCAAGAGAAATTGCCGTAATATTAAGCTTATCGTTACAAATGACACATTTTTAAATTCATGATAATTGGATATTAACCAAACACATTTAGAGAGGCGATTGCTGGATTAATTGTGGAATCATTTCAAATTTTCCATTTCTGTGTCTTTTGGTTCTGCTTCATTGATGACAGGATATACCCCTTAAACTGGTTGTTGTCCTTTAACATCCGGACTTTATCTACAGTAGTGATTCTCTGCCCTGCTGACTGGATGTCCTGTCCGTTCTCTCCTGTCTCTCTACTTGTTACCCACAGTGTGGCTGGTGCAGAGCCTGCAGTCGGGGGACCAGGATGCACTGCTGAAGGCCCTGAAGAGACCGCCTGAGTCGAGCCTGCAGAGGGAAGGGCTGCAGGCTGTCAGTCTGCTGCTGCAGGACCCCAGGGGCAAGGTGTGCAACGCTGCCTCTGGCCTCCTGCGCAACCTGGCTGAACATCCCCAGCACAGAGAGAGGGTGAGAGAGCTCCCCGTCAGTATCAGCTGTGTCAAGACCGTGCTTTTCACAAACATCCAAATGCTCATAAAGAAAATTTTATTTCAATAAATTTGCAAGTCCCTGTCCACTTCCTGTCCTGTGCTTCTAGGATAGACTCCAGGTTTGCTGAGACTCTTACCAGGAATTAATGGGTTTCTGACGGTGGTGGGTTAGATGCAAGTCCCCCAGTACTGAAGACTGTGGCTGCAGCAGGGTTAACTGGCTTTGTGCTACGGTACGATGCCTTTTCCTGCAAGACATTGAATGTTTCATACGTTTCCCATCAGGCCCTGGTGTGCTGTCTGGAGCTGCTGGAGGATGACCGAGCGGAGACGCGGGCTGCAGGCTGTAAGGCTCTTGCGTGTCTCAAGGTGGGTCTGAAACCGCTGCCGCTGGATTCTTCAGCTCTCGAATTCAGAAAAGGCCTTTCCAGCATGATCGTGACACACTGGGCTGCTGCTAATGGCTTT